CTGAGTTCCGTCACCACGTTCTGAGTTTTTCTCATTTATATTTTGCGTACTCTTCTTAATGTTTTCGGAAAAGATGTGACAGCCTTGATCTATTTATTTTGAATATCTTTTTCTAGTTTATAAGATGTTATTCTGCTCTTATTATCATAAATTACTATAGTAACTTAGCATGGAATTTAATCTTGAGTTTTTTGGTTTGCTTATGTTTGTGTGAATTCAACTAACCTGAAGTTTTAGAATTGTTTTCACTTAGCATTAAATATAAATTGTTATACATTGTGTTATTATTCACATTAATTTATAGAGAGAGGTTAGCTTTCTGAGATTTTCTGGCTGTGTTTTCTTGCCCTGTTTTTATCTAAATAATCATTGCCTTTACCTCTATGCCCATATAATTCTGTTCCAGCAGTTGCTCCTCACTATCCAGCAGGTAAGCTCTGACTGGCCAATGTCAAGTGTTCCCAAGGACCAGACTGCCCCAGCCCTTCAGACCTTACCAAGGGCTCCAAGCATTTTCCATAATCATAGCAGGGAAAATACTCTAATATTCTCTTCTCTGGTTGGCCCCCCATGCTTTCCAGTGAATAGCTGTTCTCTTACTCCAAGATCTAGTTGACATCCTGATTCTTCTTTCCAGTTTATCTCCCAGGAAGCTGATAACACCCAGGTCCTGTGGCTATTGGCAATGTGTCCCCACCAACAATATTTCAAGGGTTATGAAAATATCCTGTCATCTAGCTCTGCTGTAAATCTTGTTCATTATTTTTGTTTGGCTATGCAAATGCTCTGTTTTCATGTGGGATTCAGGAAGATCTAAAAACCATGTGGTGACTTCCAAGAATCCTCGACTTGCTTTTTAAAAGAGGAGTGTCTAACCAGATTAACAATTCTTGCATTTGTAGATTGTTATATTATACCGTATTGTATCATATTATATCTCATGTATATATAAACATTAGCAGGGACACTTTCATGTTTCTGCAAGTGGAGGACATTTTTATGTTTATGTTTTCTGCCAAAAACCTCTCCTCAATCTCTCCCCTATCCAGAAGTCCAAGGCAGTATTTCTCAGCACTAATGTGCACGTGATCCACCTGGGAATCTTGTTAAATTCAGGTTCCAGTCCAGTGGGTCCTGCATGAGGCCAGAGATTCTGCCTCTCCACCAGCTCCCAGGTGCTGTCAGTGGGATGGTCCACAGACTTCATCTTGAGCAGCGAAGGTCGAGGTGTCAGCAAGTGATTACTCACTTTTGAAAGATTGTCAATACAGACCATACCTGATTTTAATGAAGCACCACTCTTAGTACTTTCCCAAAACATGTAGTACCCTTGAAAGAGTTGGTTCTTCTTCTAAATAATAAAAGAAACTGAAATCCAATACAGACTTCTCTGAGAATGGTATTCTACTGCACATTATTACAAACATTCTCTTCTTATTCCTCACTATTATCATTTTTGTAAATAAAATAGACTCAGAGTGATTTGCACATAGGTTAGAATTGTGATGAAAACCTGAATTTTTGATTCTAAATTCCTGTCTCCTTCATCCTACACTGTGCTTGGGAGTATACAGTTTCTATTTTGGTCTTTATCATTTTTACCCAACCTATACTCTATTTTTATACAACACATATATTCGTTATTAAATTTTGAACAATTTCTGGCCAGGCGTGGTAGCTCATACCTGTAATCATAGCAGTTTGGGAGGCTGAGGCAGGTGGACCATTTGGTCAGGAGTTCAAGACCAGCCTGACCAACATGTTGAAACCCTGTCTCTACTAAAAATATATAAAAAAAAAATTAGCTGGGCATGGTGGCAGGCACCTGTAGTCCCAGCTACTTGGGAAGGTAAGGCAGGAGAATCATTTGAACCCAGGAGGTGGAGGTTGCAATGAGCTGAGATCACACCACTGCACTCCAGCCTGGGTGACAGAGCGAGATTCCATTTCAAAAGAAAAAGAAAAAAATAAAAGTTAACAATTTCTCTTTGCTTTCATGCAATATGATCATCAGCTTTAAGAGACTGGTTATTTACTTCAGGTTACTCTTGCCCAGAGAAATGCAGCTCTGTTACCGTGGCTTCTATCAAGAAAGTGACAAAAACAATATGTGGCATGAAAACGTCCTTGGTTAAATGGCTATTCTCCAGGTATTACTTCAGCTGAAGTAAAGTTTATCTAAAACGCAACACGCCTGCAGATTTGGCTTCCTTCGGTCTCATCTTAATTCATATGAAATAAATTACATTAATTGGCTCTGAAAAGGATTTAGGCATGATAGAGAAATCATGATGGTTTTTTTAAAATACCAAATTAATGATTAAACAAATTAACAGAGTCTGAGGGTCGTGGAAGTGGCTCAAAGCAGGTAGCAGCCCTCCCTAGAGCTCACTCCCTTGGTGTTGTAGTTTCATTCACAGAAGCAAAGGTCAGCCTTGCACACACCGAAGGGCATAGGTCCCAGTTCCCATGGGGAACATCCAATCCCTGAAGAGTGTTTGTGGAAATGCACATCTTCAGCCCCACGCTCCAGGTCTGATTGTGTGGGACTGGTGGGGCCATGGAAACCACATCTTCCACAAGCACTGCAGTGATTCTGATGCTCAGCCCTGGAAGGAAGTCGTTAGCAGGCTTGGCCTGGATGGAGCCCCACAAGACCTCGGGCTCCTGGAAGCAAGTATGGCAGGTTGCAGGGCCATATCACAGAGTGGTGTGACCAGGGTGCTGCTTTTCTTGTCTCTGACTGTGCCTTTCAGCTTTGTGCAGCAGAGATCTCTTCTCTTGCCCTGACTGTAAACTCTGGCATGCTCTCTCATGTATAAATCATCCCAGTCCTGCAGCCATTAGTGTTTTCCAGCACAGATGTGGGACGGATGATGCAGTTCAGAAATGCAAACTTCAAGATAACTCATGTATGAGTTTGCCAGGGTCGCTACATCAAAGCACCGAGACTGCTCAGCTTAAGCAACAGACATTTTTTTTCTCAGTTTTAGAATCTGGAAGTCCATGATCAAAGTGTCAACAGGGTGATTCATTCATTCTGAGCTCTGTGAGGGTCTGTTCTAGCCTCTCTCCTCAGCTTGCAAAGCCCTCCCTTCCTTGTGTCCTTGTGTCTTCAGGTTTCCCTTTATGTCTATCTGTCTCTGTGTTCAAATTTCTTCTTTCTCTTTTTTTTTTTTTTTTTTGAGACAGTTTCGCTCTTGTTACCTAGGCTGGAGTGCAACGGCACCATCTCGGCTCACTGCAACCTCCGTCTCCTGGGTTCAGGCAATTCTCCTGCTTCAGCCTCCTGAGTAGCTAGGATTACAGGCATGTGCCACTGTGCCCAGCTAATTTTTTGTATTTTTAGTAGAGATGGGGTTTCACCATGTTGACCAGGATGGTCTCGATCTCTTGACCTTGTGATCCCTCCGCCTCGGCCTCCCAAAGTGCTGGGATTACAAGTTTGAGCCACCGCGCCCGGCCCAAATTTCATCTTTCTATAGGACAGTCATGTTGGATTAGAACCAACCCTAATGACTTCATCTTAACTTGATTATCTGCAAAGACCTTACTTCCAAATAAGGCCACATTCTTGGGCACCGGGGGCTAGACTTTGACACTTTTGGAGACACCCAATTCAAACCATAACAATTCATTTGATTGAAACTTTTTTTTTTTTTTTTTGGAGTCTTATTCTGTCACCCAGGCTGGAGTGCAGTGGCACAGTCTTGGCTCACAGCGACCTCCGCCTCCCAGGCTCAAGTGATTCTCCTGCCTCAGCCTCCAGAGTAGCTGGGATTAAAGGCACATGCCACCACGCCCAGCTAATTTTTGTATTTTTAGTAGAGATGAGGTTTTACCATGTTGTCCAGGCTGGTCTTGAACTCCTGACCTCAAGTGATCTGCCTGCCTCAGCCTCCCGAAGTGCTGGGATTATAGGCATGAGCCACCGCGCCCACCCAGATCTTTGTACTCTCAAGAGTAAGTTACAACCTTTAGGAAATGTGGGCTAGAAACCATTTATGGATGTTTGGCTGAATTGACTGTAGTTACAGGATTTGCATGATTGCGTTATCACATGTACTGCCTTGGTTCCTGCTCGGAAGACCTCCCATTAACATGCTTATGATGGTCCCCCTTGGTTCGACAGGTGCTGAGTTTAGGAGCACCTGTTACGGAACAAGAAAATAGTTCCCGCCCTCCCTGACACAGTATCCTGCAAACACTCTAAGAAACATCAGTATTAAGAAAGCTAATTAACATAGGATATGTAGATCGGCATAAAGTCAACATTTGGCAGGTGAATCCAGTAAGCACCTTTGACACAAAGACAAACTCCCAATCTTCTCAGTGTCTCTCTGGATGAAATTCAGGGCCTGGGCTTAGATCTTTGTAGATGTGGCTTCAAGGAGCTGTCCCTTCCCCAGCCCCTCCTCCTGGGCCTCCCTGTCCCCACTCCAGGATCTCTAGTTCCTCAGGGACCCCGTCTGATCCCTGCTCTCTCATTGGCTGCCAGCTGGCCTTTCTAGGGCATCTGTAGTTGTGCTGGCCTTCCTGCCCTGCTCCTGGGAAGCCTGAAGAGGACCTGAAGGATATTCACAGCCCCTGGGCCAGGGTTGGGGGAGAAGCAGAGGACTCCCACCATACCTAGTTTGAGAGCAGCTGCAGAAGGACCTGGCGGGAACTCGTCTCAGAGATTTCAAAGTGTGCAGGGATTTCAGAGTGCACGGTCATCAACCGAATAAGGTTTATTTTACAGCTGAACTCACCCGCTTCCCACCCAGCCTCAACCCGCTGCACTTCTTCCTAAATGAACAGTGCCCACTTTGATAACACCTCCGAGCCAGAAACAAGGGCACCCTGCTGGCCTCCCTCCTCTCTTCACGCCACACAGCCAGTCAGTCATCTCGCCTGATGCGCTGGCCCTTCTGACCATCCCCACCTCTGTCCCTGGCCCCTCCCACTGCCCTTATTCACCCTTTATCGACTTCCCGTGATGAATTGCGACAGCCTCCTACCTGCACATCCTCCCTGAATACACCTCCTTTCTTCTTCCAGCAGGATTCCATCCTTAGATGGGACTGTAGGTCCCCAGAAGGGGCTCCTGAACTTCCTAGGTGTCAGATCTTGGGCAAGAGATTCCAACCCTCTAAATCCCAGTGGCTTCCCCTGTAAAACAAAGAGAAGAATAACAGTGACTGCATCACAGGGATATTGGGAGGATTAAATGAGATAATCTGTGTACACCCCTTCCCCTAATGAGGGCTCGCTCAGGTGAAGGCAGCCATGATAACATTCTTCCCGATGTGCTCCCAAAGGAACATCTCCACATATCCCTTGCAGTACTTATCATTCATCCAATAATTATGTTGTGTCTTTTCATCACTTCATGGAAGAGAAGCCTTCTGAAGGTAGGGAATCTCTCTTATTCATGTCGCATGCCCAGAAATTAGGATAGCACCTGGAATATACTAGGTCTTCAATAAATATTTTAAGGAGGGATGTATGGAAGAATGGATTCAGAGAAGGGCAGCTGGCTAAATGGTGACTAAATCCAACACCATTCCAGTGTTGTGACCATGTTACATTCCAGCACGCGCCATTAAGACTTTTTGTCACATCTCTTTAGTGGTAAATGCTCAAATTTATTTTGTCCTAAAATCAACCACCTATAAATCTTAGAAACCTGAAGGGGAAGGTTTTGATTTAATTAGCTATTTTTCCCTTTTCAGTTTATGTTTCTGTTCTAAAGGGGAAGGTTCTGAAATAGTAGACATAATAGTAAATATTGACCTCGTGGAAACATTTTCACTCTTAATTACAGCAGTTGCTATCTTTCTTTCTGCAATAATAGTGTTCTTTTTAAGAAAGAAGTTCTAAAAATTATTTATATAAAGGAACATAACTCATTTAAAAAACCAGTATTCTGTATTGTGCAGACTGCTCTGAGCTCTGTCTTTTAATAATAAGGTTTGACCAGGCTCTGTGGTTCATGTCTGTAATCCCAGCACTTTGGGAGGCTGAGGTGGGTGGATCACGAGGTCAGGAGTCCAAGATCAGCTTCGCCAAGATGGTGAAACCCTGTCTCTACTAAAGATACAAAAATTATACAGATGCGGTGGCAGGTACCTGTAATCCCAGCTACTTGGGTGGCTGAGGTAGAAGAATTGCTTGAACCCAGTGGGTAGAGGTTGCAATAAGCCAAGATCACACCACTGCACTCCAGCCTGGGTGACGGAGTGAGACTCCATCTCAAAAACTAATAATAATAACAATAAGGTTTAATGCAGATGTGCAAAATACAGCAAACGCAGCTTCACATGATGGCCAAAACCATCTGAATTACCAGCGAACTAATCCAAACAAGGCAAGGAAAGCTTTATCTTTAAGATGTAAATGGTGTAGAAATATTCCATTTTACAGAAATACACTTTCAGCCTCTGCAATGATAAATCTTATGTGATCCTATTGGTTCTCTTTCTCTGGAGAACCCTAATACAGTATCTTTTGTAAAATTCTAAATGAGTTTCCTTTCAAATGCATAAATGATTAAACCTTATTTGGGGCTATTCCTATGCGATGTGTAAGAACGGGGAAGCCCCGCGTCAGCATGGCGGGCCGGGACACTGCTTGACATCACCCGAATCTTATCTAACCCACTTCTGTTGAGTGTCAACTCCCTGTAGACACGGCACTGGCTTCTAGGTTGCCAGTGAGCAAATCCATCAAATTCATCTAAATGACCACCAGGCATGAACCAGGATCACATTCTTAAAGGATTACTGAGGACTGCAGAGTACAGCAGTAGTGGGCCTACATGCACCCTTGGGTGAGGGGAGGACCTTGGCTCTATCAGCCACCACTTCCAGCTCTGCTCCTAGCAAGTGTTGTCCATTTGTCTGTCCCTCTGGGAAACGCCTTTCAATCACGTGGTTCTACTGGGAGCTGCCATATTCCTACAGAACCTGACTCCCTGGCTACAGTGGTGCTCTAGGGGCAAAATGCCCATCTGGCTAATCACAGGGCTCCAATCTCTGGTCACAGATAACTGATACAAGTCTAAGAACCTACACACCACGATTTAAGCCATCTTTTACCTGGACTTTCTACTAGGAATCAAGGGCAGTCAGTCAGTTCTTCCCAAGGGAAAAAGATGAGCTGATGTGAGCAGCCAGGTCTCCTGGCCTGTGGGGCTAAGAGCAGCCCCCTCCAAGGGGCACTGACTGGGAAGAAGGACAAAGCCCAAGTTCCACCATAGCCAACACCAGCTGGGCTTTCCTCCCTGTGGGGGTCATGGGAGACAACTGCCCCTTTGCTGGAGCTAATTGGGTTTTCAGAGGCAGAAGCCGAAGAGTCACTTTGATTAGATCTAAACTATAGGAGCCATTCCATCTTCTGGGCCTCAGTGTGAACTGCGAAAGGCCATTCCCGGTTGAAATCTTAACACGGTGGAGAGTGAGGTGAACGAGTGTGAACTGTGCACACACCACTTTCCCCATGGATCCTGTGAAGAGCAGATAAGACTTTATAACCCAGAGAAATGGGAAATGTGCCAGATGTTTACCTATTTTTCTAATCATAATTATGAACGTTGAGTTTACTTGGGACCCTGTTGTACGAGAATGAGGGGATGTGACTGGATGGATCACAAAACTCATGGGTGCACACATAAAACCAATGTAAGCAGACAACCCCTTGAGATGGTGTCCGTGTGTCCTGGGACTACTTTGACGAAGGACTGGAAACCGGGTGACCTAAAACAACAGAAATCGGTTCTCTCACAGTTCTTGAAATGGGAAGTCCAAGGTCAAGGTGTGGTATGGCTACGCTCCATCTGAAGGTCCCAGGAAGAATCCTTGCCGGGAGGATCTTGGGCAAGAAACGGCACCTGGTAACTCCAGGTGTTCCCTGATTTATGGGGGCGTCACTCCAACCCCTGCCTGTCTTCACACAGCCTTCTACCCTGTCTGTCTGTGTCTTCACGGGTATTTGTGTGTTCTCTGTGTATCCGTGTATCTTCTCTTCCTATAAAGACACCTGTCGCATTGGAGCAGGCCCACTCCAATCCGGGATGACCTCCTCTTAACCAATTACATTTGTACCAACTCCCCAAACAAGGTCACAGTCTGAGGAACTGGGGTCTGGACTTGGACATATCTTTTGGTGGGCACAATAAACCCACTATGATGGGGCACTCATTTTCCAAAGTTCTTAGTGACCAAGTCCAGTAGTGATAAAGTCAGGGCAGCAGCAAATGTCTCCCTGGCCAGGCACTGGAGAACGTCACTCCCTGCTTCAAGCCATGCCCTGGAACATCAGGGGAAAGGATGAGATTGGGGTCCTGGAAGTCCTCACATGGGGCTTACAGAAGAACCCCAGCAGCCTCCAAGGGAGGTTGACATCCACCTTTGCCTCTGGGGCTCCAGGTGCAGGTCTCTCTGAAGCAAGACAACACACTCAGATCTACAAAAAATTAGTGGAGTCCTCTTGTTCCTCTTAGGTTTACGCAAAGCCAATTCAAATGTCCGGTTGACTCGTTCCTCTCTGAATAAAGTGAGCCTTGGACCCACATTTGAGTGTTAGTCACAGGGGCGGTGTCTGCCAGACACGATTCTACCCCTCCCTTTTCTTCCTAAAATAACCCCAACCCCAACACAGGATACAGAGGGGGCCTGTGAGCCCGTCCCAGCCATCACAGTGACAATCACGGTTGACCATGACCCCCACCGACCCATCACACCTTTCCCAGAACCAATGCGTGTGTGCATGTGTGCTGGGAGCAATAGCTGCTGTCTCCTGCAATTTCAAGTTGGGAGGCTGTAGCACCGGGACTCTATTCACCCTCTTCCTCCCCTGAGAAGATGGTCTGTGCTGATCTCACTGAGGCCCTGGTCCCTACACCTGGTGCTGAGCTCTGCTGGCTCTCCATAGCTCCCGTGGGGTTCTGTTTCTACTCCTGAGGCCTTCAACCTATCTGTACCTTGGTTCTGATACAACCTCCAAGTGTCATTCCTGTTGAGACTTGCCCGTATTGCTGGCCCTAGAAGTGGACGCCATCTGCCAAGGACAGTCTCCACTCCAGCCAATCCCACTGCCCTCCATCACCTGCCCCACAAATACTGTAGGTGTAATACATTTTAAACTAACTTAACATTAATTAAGTCTGCGTGCCGTGCTCATGCCTGGAATCCCAGCACTTCTCAAGGCCGCAGCGGGAGGATCGCTTGAGCCCGGGAGTTTAAAACCAGCCTGGGAAATATAGTGAGACCTCACCTCTACCAAAAAGCAAAAAAAATTAGGTGGGTGTGCTGACGCGTGCCTGTAGTATCAGCTACTCGGGAAACTGAGGCTAGAAGATTGCTTGAACCTAGGAGGTCAAGGCTGCAGTGAGCTGAGATCACACCACTGCACTCCAACCTGACAGAATGAGAGGTTGTCTCTGAAAATAAATTAACAATAATGTTGCTTATCTTTCTAGAATTTAGTTCATTAATAGGTAGGCTTTTTTTTTTAAGTTAAGAGAAGCTCAAATGTGGCTTCTTCTGTTCTCCTGCTTTGAAAGCCTCCCAGAACTCTTGTTCTTAACAGTTGTCCTCAAATCAGGGAGCCATTTCCCATAGATCCTCTGCTGGATATAAATATTTTAGGCCTCACAGAGGATGCTCCATGTAGCTGTTTGAAAGCCTCTTTCAAGAGGATCAGATGCTCTTTCTTATGTTTTAGCTTTTGCTCTCTTTTCTTCCCACTAACCTCTGCCCCTCAGCTCATGCCAAGAAGAGCCTGGGAGGGAGAACGAAGCCACAGAAGGAAAATGTACAGGAGTGGGGAGGGTGGGCCCATACCCCTTTGCAGCGGGTACTTACTGGTTGAGGGAATTCAGCACTGATAAAAAGAGATCTGTGCTGGGAGGCTCCTGGCCCCAGCTGCTGGCTGGGCTGCCTCTCTCTCCACCTTCCCACAGCCTCCCTGACGCCCTGACCAGCTGCAGATGCTCAGCACAGCCAGGCTTTGTGGAACCAGAAGATTAGTGAGTCAAAGGACCAGAGAATTAGACCAAGTATGTTAATTGGATATGAGTGGAGGCCTCAGTGGAGAGCTGCCCAGTGCCCTCTCTCCCTGCACCCTCCATCCCATCCTCACCGGGAGCCCAGAGCTCCCTGCTGTGAGTG